TGTGTTCATGTGTGTTGTGTTCAGGTGTGTTGTGTTCATGTGTGTTGTGTCCAGCCTCAGTGACCTCAGTGACCTCAGAGCCGCTCCGACCAGTCACAGTTTATTCTGAGCTGATGGAAGGTCAGCTGGATTTCAGGTTATGTAACAGCTTTTAAAACTGCTCGGCTTCTGTTCTGGTTTCATTGAAACACCCGGAGGTCGAGGACATTTTAATTAAAGCACCAAAGAACCTCCATGTTAGCAGATGGGACATGAACTAAAATAATCAAAGTAGACATTAAATAAATGTTTGTGTCATTTCAGCTCGTGCTCATCTCACTGATGTTTGTTCAAGTTTCTGATCAGTTTGGTTTTTAAGTTACTTGATTTGAAAACAGACGTCATGATTGACAGCTGAGATGATCTCCACTTCACAGACGAGGCCACATACACTATGTAATTAGCAAGATGGCCGTGTTGGTCTTGCAGATATTCAGGCTTCATCTCGTTATTACAGTCTATGGAGCCTTTCATTATTATTATTAAGATCTTGTTCACGCTGGTTTCAGAATAAAAGCAGTGAACAGGTTCAGCAGCAACTATCAACATAGTAACGCAAACAGAGGAGAGTCAGCACTTGTATATATTCATCGTCCTGTTGTCTATAAGAGTCAGATTATATCTCTATCACATCACATCACACACTGCAGCTGTTATAGAAAATAAGCTCATAGCTGCTTTTCAAGTTGATTGTTCAGAGAGTTTTTCGGTTTATATAAATGGATCTTAACGTATAGACACTTGTTATTGAGAGCACACAGTCACTGCAGCGTTCAGCTGTGAGCGTCACACAGCTCAGCTGCAACAATGGATTTAATAAGGATTGAACAAGATTCACTATTTACTGATGCAATCACACAAATCCTCCGTTTGGAAACTGCTGAGCAACATGAGGCCTCGACTGCTGCTCACCCTCTATCAATAACTGCAGGAGGACAACAGCTGATCCTGCTGATACACAACTACAACACACATTCATACTGTTAACACACAACACACGACTACAACACACATTCATACTGT